TGGATGGGTGAAGTGTATATATGTATATATAAATATTTGTAATTTAATTTCAGTCAAACTAAAATAAATACATTATTTCACCAGAAGAGAAATATATATATATATATATATATATATATATATATATATATATATATATATATATATATATATATATATATATATATATATATATATATATATATATATATATATATATGTGTGTGTATAATTAGTAAAACTGAAGCATATTCTTGCTATGTTAAACATCAATTGGAAAATATATGAAAAAGGGCTAATAACTGTTCAAAGGTTGATTTAATGAGTTAAATTGTTCACTGATATCTATACACAGGTATATGGCTTAGCTGATGTCAAAAATCTCCAGAATTGGTTTTGTAAGCTCATTTAATACTCCATTAAATACCCCTAGAATCAGAAGGTCCATAATTGACCATATTTGGAATGATCGTGAATATTAATGAGCTCTCTCTCTTTCTCCCGTGTATACACACGCGCACACAAGTGATGAGACACAATGCTCAAATGTGCATTAAATACAACGCTTAGCAGTCTAGGTGTGTTTGTTCCCTCAAATTAAAATACATATTCAGCAAATTTCTCAATAAACATAATGAATTAACAAAGGCACAAAAGACTGTATAAAGTATAATATCCCGCATTTTGCATTCTGACTTGTTGAAATAGATGCTTAGTAATGAATTACAAACAACCTGCAGCTGGCTTTCAATTTTGCTGCATCTCCCGTTTTTAATATAGGAGTCCCACACATGGTAAGTTTAATTTAAACTTTGATATTACTGATCTCGAGTCTGTGTTTGGCTGGTGATGTCCTGGGGTCCGTTCTTCGTACCTCGCTTAAATGATCTAAGATGATTTGGCAGATCCTGGATCTGTTAATCTTGATAACTGATCTCTCGCTAATTTGGTTCTTCAAACAAGTTCGCGAATCAGATTAGAATGTCTGGATGAACTGATCTGAGATCGCTGCGTGTGTTGTGAAGGACAGATCTATCGATCCTAGAAATCATGATCACCAATGCAACGATTGGCTGACGGCACAGCAGCGTAATGACATCATCTGATTAATATTCAATTATCCATGTGAGCAAAATTACATCAAATTAGCAGTAAACGGCTTGTTAAATATGACACGCAAGAACTTTACACATTTGTTGTGAGCTGCAGGCTTTACACTTTCATGTGTCAAGAGTATTCATCATGTATTTCAATACAAATCAGTGTATTTAGTTCCACATTTAGAAAATATTTTCTTTATAATAGTAGCCGTTTTTTAATCGGTGTAAAGAATAACTGGATGTTTACAAAAGCATTTTGATATGGGTAAAGGCGTCTGCAACTTTTGTGAAGCATCAAATCACCGTCATATTAACTGTTAAAACATGTTTATGACTGCATTAATGTATTAATTTTTTTTTTTATGTTGTACATTTCTATTATCATACACAAATTGTACTAAAGCCATCTAAAAAGTTCATATCAATAAGTTTTCTCTTTGCACCACGAGGTGGCAGTCTTTGTACTTTCATTGCGAGGGTGCAGATTGCATACGTTTTATAAATTTATATAACTATTTATTTTATTAATAACTATAACTTTATATATATATATATATATATATATATATATATATATATATATATATATATAGTTAAAAATATTTACTATTTTCCCAAGTGTATATAATGACTACTGTAAGAAAATATCAGAATTCGATTAATACTTTATCTATTTTCTTTGCTTGAACTGAGCCGATCTAATCCTGTTTATATGAATTGAACCTGCTCCTGATCAGGTTTGAGCAAGCAGAACTGTTGCTATGACAACAACTCTCAGATCAGCTTTGAAGAACGAAACGATCCTGGATCGTGTCAAATCGTCAATATCCAAATCCAGCTAACTGAGTAATCCACGTACGAAGAACAGACCCCTGATGACTCGGCTGCTTGTCAGGTCTGGATGTCAAATAATGCACATGGCCTAAAGTAGCTACAGTCGAATGCTGAGGGTGTGGCCCATGATGAGTCACACAACAGTCTGCTTTGTGTTTGTGTAATTTACATGAGAACGATGAAACAATGATGACTGAGGCTCACGGTATAGCCATTTCCATATAGCGATCTCTTATTATTCCACTATGACTAGATATAACCAGACTTTCTTTATAGGGCACCTTTAGAGAAAATATATTTTAAAATCAAATTAAAAATTATACTTGCATATATTACTGATACTGTTAGAGAATGATCCCATGATTGATATCCCCGATTTATTTATATCATCGTCTTCATCCATGTATTATTAGTCCTCCAGATTTCCTATGAGCGGAGTTCGAACCAGTTTCATAATAAACTTTCTGTCCTAAATGTGTGTGTGCGTGTGTGTGTGTGTGTTATAATTCAGATGGCTGACATTCTGGCTCTCTGCTTTCATTTCTTTCTAATAAAGTTCAGAGAGTCTGTTTCTGCTCTCTGCTCCACGGCTTTTGTGAACCCTTCACGTAATTAGAGAATCAACCCATGCCAGTCGGCCCTCGGCCCCCAAGGGCCCCTCTGAGAGTCAGACAGACTACCAACACTTTGTTCTTATTAATGCCGCCCTACCCAACACTTGCCTGAAACTTGCACAAATGAAACGGTGGACTGAAGAGAACTAGACTAGACTGAACTAGACTGAATTGGACTAGACTAAACTAAACCTGTTTTATGACAAAACAAATATCGTAAAGAGAATCAACCCATGCCAGATGGCCCTCGACCCCAAAGGGCCCCTCCAAGAGTCAGACAGACTGCCAACACTCTTATAAATGCGCCCTATCAAAAAAAAAAGTGACAGGTATATTCGGGTGGACAAATAGGTCCAAAATGTAATAATAATAAAAATAAATAATAATAATAATAATAGTAATGAAAAAAATAAATTACATAAGTTTAATTGACATCTTTTAATGAAAACTTAGCTACTTACTTATCTTCATGCTGCATCATGACTTTTCTTCTGTGGGACACAAAAAGAGATGTTTCGAAGAATGTCCGTGCTGCTCTTTTATATTAAACAAATGCACTCCAAGAGATGAAATCATCAAGCTATATAAACAGAAAGAAAGAAAGAAAGAAAGAAAGAAACGCCATGAAAATGTTAAATGAAAAATCTAAACAGCTTTATTTCAAGTCCATTGAAGTCATATTATAATTCTCCAGCAATTTATGTAAGTTTTATGTAACGTAGTGTTAAAAATAAAGCCTATTCAAAGAAGCTTTTATACTCACCGCCTCCTTTCCTTCTCATTATCCTTTTCTTTATAACATGTAACCATTTTCGATCGGGCTTTAAACTGTAGAGTGAACATATGGTAAAAACATGAGCTTAATTGTTGAGGAAACTCTGCATGCTCTGTTATGTAATCACCCCATCAAAGACTTGTAAAACTGCTGCCTATGTTTATACCGTTTTTTACCACATTGTCTGTCTTTGCATATTTTACCAAGTCTTCAAATGTTGGCTCTAGTCTCTAAAGGTGAATCTACCATGGGCAAAAACTAGTCATAAAGGCATACCTGCCAACATCTGGGTAATGAAATCTGGGAGACCGGGGAAGAAGGGGTGGAGATGGAGGGATCTCAGACTGGTTTCTTGAACATGACAATGAGTTCACTGTACTCAAATGGCCTCCACAGCCACCAGAGCTCAATCCATTAGAGCACCTTTGGGATGTAGTGGAACGGGAGATTCGCATCATGGATGTGCAGCCGACAAATCTGCAGCAACTGCGTGATGCTACCATGTCAATATGGAGTAAAATCTCTGAGGACTATTTCCAGTAGCTTGTTAAATCTAGGCCACGAAGGATTAAGGCAGTTCTGAAAGCAAAAGGGGGTCCAACTCAGTACTAATAAGGTGTACCTAATAAAGTGGCCGGTCAGGGTCATATACTTTTCTAAGAGTCATGTAATAGATTCACATTCAAATGAAGTACATACCCGAGAAGCAGGTGATTTTGGACGTCGCCCCAGATCCCAACACACTGATCCTCTTCTACACCTGTGCTCGCTGTGTTTGGACACTCTTGTTAACAGCGGCTCTCAGGTCAGTGTTGTGGATCTGATTGTAGATCAGTTCTGCTGCAGTGTTTAGCACAGTCAGAGCCTGGAGCCATGTACAATGACCCTGAATCCTAAATAGGACACACTCAGCCTGCGTTGCTTGCTTTCTCTCCGCTCTTCAGCCTGGTGGAGTACCTGAAGACATCAAACACACACACTCATGCATCAAACTTGCCCTTTACCCACTTTCACGGAGATATGTGCAGATGCTTGCAATTATTGTTTATTCAGAATATACAACATTTATAAGCTACACTGAACAGTTTGCAATTTTCACTTAGAAATTGATAGGAAATGTTATTAACCAGACAAGAATTAACACATTATTGTATGAGAAATCAGACAATTATTCTAAAATTACTGTATTTTAAAGAAAATATCTATATATCTATATATATATATATATATATATATATATATATATGTATATAACATAACATATATATATATATATATATATATATATATATATATATATATATATATATATATATATATATATATATATATATATATATATATATATATATATATATATATATATATATATATATATATATATATATATATATATATATATATATATATATATATATATATATATATATATATATATATATATATATATATATATATATATATATATATATATATCTATATATCTATATATCTATATATATATATATATATATATATATATATATATATATATATATATATATATATATATATATGTATATATATATATACATATA